GCGATTCAGTGACTGAACGAAAATACTTTTCGTGCGTCATTGTTGCGTTAAAACCAATGTTTTATCCATGGCAGTTCACAAAATTCGCCTACTGCAAGCTTAGTTGGCTCTCTTTACTGTGCTTTAACTTGACCTCTCTTCTAACCATTTAGGCAGATTCCTTTATTGTTTCCTCTCATAATCAAATTAGCTGGCGTTTTTCAACTTATCCTCTGTCATATCATAAGATATTCCCTGCTCGGATGGTAAATGATAAGGCGTTTAGTCGTATTCTAATGTGACCGATATAGACAGTCATACCTCGTTTTAAGCGCAATGAAAGGCATTCTTCTTAACCTGCGTGGTAGCGGTAAAAGCTTATCGTTATCTTTTAAATAGTAAGCCGCTGTGGCAGCGTTAACGAGGAACTGGTAACATTCTTGCTTCCTCATGCATTTAATATAAACACATGTAGATAATTTATATTTTGACCTCAAGTCGGTTCCTGTTCTTAGGATAGAAATAGCTTTCGGAATTTAAACTCCAGTATACCTAGGCTGTATTGCAAGGCGAAATATTTTTTGTAGGGTTGAATTAATTCTCTATAGGCAGTTGTCAAATGAGATGGGGAGACGCCGAACCTGGTGCCATCTGATGTCTGTACAAAGGCCAGAACTCTAAGCAGAGGTCAAGACCTTTTGGATATTCCCACAGCTTATATAATGGTCGCTATATTGCAATGCTAATTAACATTCAAGAAAAGAAGCCTACTCATAACGAATTTTAAGCTGTACCCTTCTTCGTCCGGTTTGTTGCCAGGATTCACGGTGGCTGCCTGAATCTCTCTCATATCGACAGCCTTTGACATTGCCTGGTCAGCCAAAAAAGTCATTCGTGTGTAAGCATCCTTTAAATCGTAGTTCTTGTCAAGCATAGCGTTGGGTAGTTTTCTTCCACAAGTATTGTAATAAATAAAGAGTAAGCACCACCCAAATAGGAGCAGTCCGAGCAGAACTCCGATGATGGCGGTGAAGATCCACAGACTAGTAGTATGTTGATTTGTAGAGATGTAGTCTATGGAGAAGAGGTGAACACATCATGGCCAACTATTGTAGGAAGTTCGTTGTATCGTACCTTCGATTGATTTGTAGATGATTCCCAGGTAAGCGGAGATCTCTCGCTCTTCGAACAGACTGATGTCTTCAATGACGCTGGAAGCAAGAAGGTAATGGCCACCGAGGAGTGCACTGAAGACCAGCTGCATATCATTTTTTGCCAACTCTCGAGTGAAATTCAGAACCTGAAAAGAGGCGGACAAATGACATGTAAAGAACGGTAATAAAACATTTCCCTG